TGTAGATTTTTTAAAGCTTTCTTCTCCTTAGATTCAGTAACATAAATGTAGGCAGTAAGTTAGTGTGTAGTACTAATGATTTCATGGAATTTGTGGAATTCTGGAAACAATATGGTGTTCATGTTATCCTTGAAGTGGGATAAAAATTTTCATATATATATATATATATATATATATATTTTTTTTTTTTTTTTTTGGCAGTATCAAGGGTCTACTCAGGACCTTGCACTTGCAAGGCAGGTGCAGTGCCACTGAGCTAAATCCTTGACCCCTTTATTATATATATTTAAAGAATCTTTAAAATGAATAACTCCCATCTTGTATCCTTTTGCTAATTGGTTGTTCTGTGCTTTAAATATTCATGTGGTTGCTGTGTCAAGATTTCTACCATGCTGTATTTCAAAATTTAGTTTGAAATTTGCTCTTAACTTTGAATGACATTTCCATAAATGTAAGGCATGCAGGTTCCAGTTGTAGCAAGTTCTGTGAGAATCATTTACCTGGGAAGGAACCTGAAGCCTTGTGCTGAGCAGTGTAATTCCCCACCTATCCATGCTCTGCACTCAGAACATTAGGAGCATCTTCAGTCTGCTGGTGGCTGGAGTAGCTTTTCCTCAGCTGAAAGCTGTCCTGATAACCTGGAGTTGTAAAAATATATAGGGTTAGAAAGGATAGGATCAGATTTCAGCATTTTGATGAGACCTTCCAATTAAATAAATAGCTTCTCTCTATGGATACCTACTTTCTACTGTGTGCCAGAGCTTAGGCCATATGGGTTGCACACCATCCCTCCTTTCCTTTACATCAACCTTCAAGATGCCAAACTTGAAATATGGAGCCCATAGTAGCATTTATTTATTTGTTTGTTTTTTGGTATCAGGGATCAAACTTGGGATCTTGCGCTTGTGAGGCAGGCACCAGAACCACAGAGCTAAATCCCCAGCCCTGATAGCTTTTATTTTTTATTCACTCACTCACATTCATTCATTCATTCGAGTTAGGGTCTTGCTATGTAGTCTAGGCTGCCTTGAATTCACTATGTAGTGCAAGCTAACCTGGAATTCACAGCCATCCTCCTGCCTCGTCCTCCTAAGTGCTGCAATGATAGGCATGCCCCACTGTGCCTGGCCATCAGTTGCTTTAATCACTCTGAATTCCTGTGCAAAAACTTTGTGTTTATGTGCATTTGCTTTCCTCTAAGGAGAAAAGTCGTGCATCGATTAAATTTAATATTTTGTTCTTTTGAAATTATTAACCTTATTTCATAGTTAAAGAAAGGGAATCTTGGAGATTTGAAGTATTTTCTGTAGTGCACAGAGTGGCTGCATAGCAGGACTGCCCCAGACTGACTTTTTTACCAAGGGTGCTTCTGCATCATAGCAGTCTGTGAGGAAAGAGGTGGGAAGGGGCCAGATGGAAGGTGGAACAGATCCTGCTATGGTTTAGGAAAGGGGCTTGGAGGGCTCAGCTGCTTCCAGTTCCCCAGGGCAACTGCTCAGGCTTCTCCTACTTGCTGTTCTCCTTTATTCAGAGTCATAATGACCAGAAAAGGTAAATATTTTGAATCCATTCAGGACATCAAAGCTGCCACAACAGCACAACTAAAGACATTCATGAAAGAGAACTTCTGGAACTTCTTCAGAAGTGGCAAGAATGATAGGATAAGTGTGTTCTGAGTGGTAGCTGCAGGTGGGGGTATTTATTTTAGGGGAATTAATGACAATGTATTCTTTACTGTAATGTTTTTTAAATTTAAACATTCACCATATAATCTGATCACCCTTTGTGCCTATACGTATCTGTATATGAATAAATACAAATATATAATTATTTATTAATAAATGTCAATATACTAACATAATATAGTGTATTATATGTAATATATAATTATTAATGAAATAATATATAAATATAGATGCTAAAAATGTGGTTACTAACCACTTTTTTGTTTCATATCTTAAATAAAAAGACTCTCACCTTTTTCAATGCTCTGCCCCTCCCCTGTCCTCCTCATACATGATATTTCAGTAATACTCTCTTGCTGGTTAAATTCCACATGCTATTTAGATACTAAATGATACTGACTTGTTTTTGTCCAAGATTTGCCCTTCTTGAAAATAAAACATTCTGTTTTCAAAGTCATCTTTTATTCTTTCAGTGACTGTTACATTCCTTATATTGGTCCCCATTTGAGTATTCAGCATACGTTGAAATGTACTAATTTCAGCAATTAATTTTTTCTTCGTTTGAGGATGTGTCTTTGATGATGCTTAATGTCTACCATTTTACATAAGGAAATAATATTGGTGGTAACAAAGAAACTACAGTCCTGTTAAACAATACTGATTAAGTTCAGTAGTAGCTTTATGTTTTCACTCCCCAGTGTCAGCAAACAGTGGTGAATTTAGGGGGTGTTCATAATGCTGCTAAAAAAAAAATTGGAGAGCTACAGAATTAAAAGACTTAATTTGGAATAGATTGCCTCAGTAGTGGCAGAATTTGAAAAATACTCCTCTTTCTTTTCACTGTCACTATCACAAAAGACTACCATGCAGTCTGCCTTCAGATGTTTCCTTGTATTAATTCTGTCAGCATGCTCCAGATCTATTTTTCCAAGGATGCTTACACATTTAGGAGTCTCTGGAGTCTTACCCTTTTGTTAGAACATGGTAGAATCTTTGGTATGTAAACACTATAAGGAAGGTGGTTGTGGAGTACTTGAGAACACACTGGCCTTGAAAACAGAAAACCTAGATTCAGACCTTGCCTTAACCACTTATTAACTATGTAACCTTTGTAAGTCACCTTATCTTTCTGATACTTAACTTGCTTCCCTGTAAAATTAGTTTACCATTCTTAACCTCAGAGGTTATGTGCTGTTTTCACACTGACCAGGCCTGTGATGTCATGTGGCAAACCCTTGGTGCTTATCCATCTTTCAGTGATTGTTAATTAACAGTAGGGAATTTATGTACAAAGCATATTTGATATTCAGTAGTGGTATGAAAGAAATAATTAGTGTATTCATATATTAACTGACTTATAAATATTAAGTCTTAAGTTTTAAAAGAAAGGATCTATTCCCCCCCCCCCCCCCCGGTACTGGGGATTGAACTCAGGACCTTGCCCTTGTGAGGCAGGCAAGGCACCACTGAGCTAAATCCCCTGCCCAAGAAAGGATTTATCTTGGCAGAGGCCTTACACAGAGCAGGCAGAAAACAGCTGGGAAAACTTTGTTAGTTCAGTTGTTCTTCTTTTAAGGTGATGTTAACTGTTTGAAAAATTTATTAAGTATATAAATTATTAAATATATTTGGAAATTAAAGAGAAGCAGGCATTGCAGTGGAGCTGCATTAACATTTTGATGTTTCTTTCTAATCTTTTTTTCCTCAGGCATAGAGGGGTTTTATTTGTCTACTTTTGTCTTTTTAAATGTATTTAGAGGGCATATATGTTTGGTGACAGACCGTTCCTGTACATGGGAGAGAATTAGTTAGAATCCTTCTCAAAGGAATATCACCATCCAGCACAGAACTGTTCCCACCATGTACAGTACCCATTCAGGAGGAAAGTATTTGCATTTCAGCTTCATCCAGATGTCAGTAGGAAAGGACATCCCTGTCCTCTTCTACCTATGGAATACTTTTCCTTGTGTCATTTTCATTCACCCTGCTTTGCTCAGATGATTTTCTTCCATACCTCTCTTGTTATGAGTGAACAAATATATATTTACTGAGTCTGCATTTTGTGTGAATGATAACATAACTGGTATTAAAAAACCGCTGTTGGTTAAAATTATTTTTGCCGCCTTCACTAGTATTTCCTAGGGTGCACTCCACAAAAAATAAACATCACAGTGCAATTGCATATTACATACAAAAGTGATCCTAATTAGAGTCACCACATCAAGTTTTTTCTTAGAGCCTTTTGTCTTCTGAGGTACGATGTGAGATATGTTCACTTTCTACCATTTCCCAGCCTCACATGTTCATTGGAAACCTTTCTTCAAAGAGCGTCTTGCAGGACTTTATTCTCAGCAGTTCCTATGGGAAATGTTGATAAACACGTTACTTTATTTTCTTCTGGCATTTTATTTTATTCTGTAGGAATCTGAGTCCAGTCTGGTTTTTCTATTTCTCTCTAAATTATCCCTCACCACCTGCTTGAATTGGTGTAGGGCCCTTTTTATTACTGTTCTAAAAGTGGCTAAGACAGAAGGCAACAGTCACGTGTATGCTCAGAAAAGGTGTAGTTGTGCAGTCTTGGATGCAAAGGTACTAACAGAAACTTAAGAGAAAGCAAAACAACTTGCCTGTAAAAGCAATATCTCAGCCCCACTTTCTGAATATTTCAGGCCTTGCATTTCTCATTCTATAGGAAGAGAGGGAGAAGGGTGCCCACTCCTATTTGTAATGCAAGTTGGCATGTTGCTTGGTCTGCCCTCAAAAGGCCTACACCATCATAAGAAAACCACAGACACTAACACATTGCCCGAATGTTGGGGTGGCATTGGGGTAGCTGCTTCTAGCTACATTTCTTTCTTCAAACTGTCATTGGAGCCTTACATAGCAGCTCAGTTGGCAGAACTTAAAAGCCACAGTCTTTGTTTCCTAAATATGCTAAACTCAGTGGTGATAACAATGCTTTTCTTTCATACCACTCTTCAGTGATGATAAGTGTGTTTTTGGGGATAAGGAAACACCTTCACTGCCCTCAAGTGGTACCAGAATAATTTGATATTAAAATAGTGGAGCCTGGGATTTTTGCATTTCCAGTTCCTCGTAGAAGTGAATTGCTAAGGTAAAAGACCAGCTTATAAAAACAACCAGTCTTGTAGAATTGATGTATTTAATAAGTTAATTATTATGTGAGTGCAGCACTTAGAATTCTACTGAACATAGTGAAAGGCCTGTATCAGTGTTAGCTAATAATTATTATTTGTGATGATAATGTTACTGATTTGACCTTAATTCGATTTACTTTTCTTTCTTACTTGGTAGGTCAAACTGTGCTGAAAATATCCGCAAACACATTTTACATACTGGCAAGCATGAAGGAGTCAAGATGTACAACTGCCCCAAATGTGACTATGGGACAAATGTCCCTGTGGAATTCCGCAACCACTTGAAAGAACAACATCCTGATATCGAAAACCCTGACCTCGCTTACTTACATGCTGGTAAGGGACTGAAATTATTAAAATATTTGTCTTTGATAGGATTTCATTTCACTGATTATAACAGCTGTAATGCTCTTTGTATGTTACCACTGTCTGTTTCAATGGAGGAGGGTATGCAATGGTGTCTGCTTTAAGGCCTGTACAAAAGGATACTCTGCTCTTACTGTATCCAAGTATGAAAACAGACCATCTCAACTGTATTTTATCATAAAAGCAAATTCAAAATACAGTTAAGCTGAAGTGATAATTCTTTAACTTTCATATTTTGATTAACTGGTAAAACTTAATTTTTTCAAAAACAAAAAAACCACACCATTTTCCTGAAGTATACCTGGAAAGGAGAAGAATGTGAATGAGGAAGGTAACACAGCATCTTGGGGGTTAATAAAATACTGTTCGCTTCCCAGAAACTAGGGGGGACTCATCTGGGTCTTAGGGACAAGCTGGAGATAGCAGCAGTAGCCAGTTAATCTAGCCTCTTGGTTTACATACAGGTCAGTCATTGTGGAAGGTATGAGATGCAGCAACAAACACAGGGTAGAGCATATCTGTTCCTCTAGCCCAACTTGTTGTTTAATTAATGAGATTCCTTGAATGTTGAATTCTTCTGTGCAGAACAATGTAATGATGAATTGCGGTAATGAGGTCCCATTTGAGGAAGTACCCCTGAAGTAAACTTAGGGAGGAGTCATAAAATGTAGCCCAAACAGCACTGTGTTAGTACTGCCAGTGGATCCTAGGTCTGTTTAAAGCAGATTTTCTGGTGCCTTTTAATCTCTGCTTCTGTCCTCCTGGTCACAGGACCTCAGGTAGGCTGACCTCAAAGAGCCTCATTTTTCAGGTGTAACTGTGTGAGGACATCACTTAACAAGGCCATTGTGAGAATTTAAAAAGATAATGCTGTGGAGCTGTTAGCACAGGATACTTCAGTGCCAAGTGTGTCACAGACAGTGTTGGTGAGGGTGGGGATCATAGTAGTTTGTGAAACTCAAAGGGCATTCAACCAAACCCAGGACTCTGCAAAGTATTTCAGCCAAGTGTGTTCACATTGTCTACATTAAAGGAAATAAAACCTCATGAGTAATTAAAGTTAGAGTAAAATGTTTAATATATTTGACATTGCTTGTGTATTAGAGGAATACTTGTTTGCTACTGATGTGTTTTGTCATGTTTCTAAATTTAATTTCATATGATCAATGTACTTAATTCATGGTGTCTAATTTAGCAATCTATTGTTGCAGGGTTGTTTTTGGAAAATAAATAAGAGCAGAGGTCTCTGCTCTTTTCATTTTGGCAACGATGTCACTGTACAGGTTTTTAACTACATAGTTTATCAGCTTTAATCCACGCAAACAAATAAAATCAAGTTAGAGTATCTCTGGCCATCTGTACCTCTGTGTTTTCATAAATAGGAGAGCGAGTACAGCTGCTGGAAGTGCTGCCTGCAGAAAAGAGCCATGCAACACAAACTGCCTGGTCTGGGTTGTCAACAGAGTCCCCTGTTCCAGATGTCATTGCTCCAACTGCTTCCCAGAACAGGACTGACATCGTTCCCTTTCACTGCCCCAGTTAGACATTAGGGACAGTTTTCTCCCCCCCCCCCATATAAAGAAAGCATCTTTAATTTTTAAAAGAATCAAATGCCAATGAAAAGAGGATGTTTGTTGCAGGCCATAGCCAAGTATTCTTTTTGTGTTCTGCACAGTTTGGTCTGCACATATGATCTGTGTACTAGTGATGCTAAAGGCTATGTGCTGATGTGTTTTGAGGCCTCATTAACAATACAAAAACATTTTAAGGAAACTCATCCTTCTTCCCTATGTTTGTGGTACTCTTGAATAGATAGTCCTTGTTTTCTCTTTAAACTTTTATACTTATTTTAGAAGTATTTTCCTACCTAAGTCATAGTAGCATTTCTGTTTTCATAAGAGTCCTATGACATATGGGGGTGTTGACTGTCTGTTTTTCTCTATGCATGGCGATTGTGCTATGTCGTCATATTTTCAGCCTGATAAACTTCACTTTTAAGACAAAACTTTTTAAAAAGGTGAAAGTTTTTGAACTGACAATTTTTAACCTTGAAATTCTAAATGATCTGTGATATATTTCATTATGGTGTTTTAATCAGACTTTTACTGGCCTCTCACCCCTGGTATTTGGTGGTGGTATCAGGTGTGCATCTGAGGAACTCCCTAGTGGGAGCTAGGGCATAGGGTCCTGAAGTGTCAGGAAGCCTAAGGGTGGTTGGTGGCTGCATCTTCTGGTATCTGCAGCATCAACAGGCTGAGAATTCTGTAACCTAAATTCAGTGATGTCATTCAGTTCTTTCAATAAAAGATTGAATTTAAGCAACCCTAAGCTCCGTGGTCCCCTACCCCAAATTATTTTATTCCTGCCCATGTTAGCCCATGTATTATCAGACATCTAAAAGTCTGTTCAATGGAAAACATTTAACAAGTGAAAAAGATTGCAAGTTGTGTAATTTCGGGTATTTTAAATTTTAGTTGAGATCGTATTTGGAGATTTATCTATTAAAATAAGTGCTATTTTTCTTTGAGAGCAGTTCTGAAAGAGGCTTCCAATGTTGTGCTATTCTCTTGGGGTTGCTACACTGGTGTATAACTGTAACTGCATTATGAGGTGATATAATTTATAAAATTCCACAAAACTAGACCTCAAATACCCAGTTTAGGCCCCTGCTGGGCCATTTTGTAAATTTTGGCATCTCTGGATATCTCTGGACTTCAGGATTCTTCTCAGTGAATTAGTTTAAATGAATGTCTTATAGTCCTCTTGGCTCCAGCAGTCTGTTTCTGCAGATGTGGCTCATAGGTAGGAAAGGTCCTAACTTTATAATTCCTTTGTATTTTTCTTTGGAAACATTAACTCTGTGGGCCTCAGTTTTCCCCTCTTTAAGCTGGGGATAGAGACATCTACCACACAGGGTTCATATACTCTAGATGAAATAGTACTAAATCTAAACTATTTGATGTGATAATAGCCTGAATGGTTGTTTGGGTTTTTTCTTCTCTGATAAAAATTTATGGTTGGTGTTTTTTCCTCAATATTTTGTGGGGACTAGTATAGAATGATATTGGTATTATTTTCCATTTTGTACTTAAGAGAATGAAAATGTTCATGTGGATTTTAATTTTAACATCAGGATATGTGTTATGACTTATGTCTGGATGTCCCCCCAAAACCTCATGTGGTCATAGGTGGGGCTTTTCAGAGATGGTTGGATCTAGAGTGTGTGATCTAATTAAATATGTGACGCTGGGATTGATTCATTGTGGGATGCTAGGAATAAGGGTGCCCCACCCATGGTGTGAGAGAATATAAGAGATAGAAAGAGGGCTGCTGCTTCATTACCTTGCTGTTTGCTGCCTTGCTGCCTTCTGCCTGCCATGAACTGTCTGTCCTCAGTGATGGCCTTTTGCCATGCCACCATGCTTTGGAGCCAGCCAACAGTGAATGGAAACATTTACAAACTGTGAGCTGCAATATACCTTCCCTCCTTTAGGTGTCAGGTATTTTGCCTCAGAAACAAGAACAGTAACTATGACAGTATATATCCTTATTTGAAATGCAAGACAAAAATGGTTTAGTTTTTTACCCTTCAACTATTGAGAAATGTAACATTTAATGTGCAGTCAGTTTGAAATATTTTTTCTGGTTATCTTTTTGTTAACTATTAGTAATAGAAATCAACTTCTAGTTTAAAGATATTGTATTTACAGAAAATAACCTGAATCATTTCAGTCCTTTCAAATTACTATAGGCATTTTTTGGGCCCAGTAGATAGTGAATATTGATGAGTATATGAGATCCCTAGAAGGGCCTTTAGACTGGTAGATCCATAGCTGTGCTCCCTGTGTCAGTTACATCCAGTTTGTTTGTAGTGATGTTCACACTCTCTGAATTCTTGCTATATTTTTATCATGATTATCTCAACTATTTATGGAAGAAATATTAAAGTTTCCCACTATTATTGTGGATTAGTCTGTTTCTTTCTAATTCTGTTAATTTGGGTCACATATTGGAAGGTATATCACTAGGTACTCAGAACTTTAGGAGGAATATATGTATTTCCTTATAATTATGTTTCTTTTTACCTATGGCAATACTTCTTGCTATAATTCTACTGTTTCATATTAGTGCAGCCATACAGCTTAACTATAAGCAGCATTATAGTTGCATTTTATTTTATTATCTACTGTGACAATGTTAATCTTGTATGTGAAACACCATCTTTTATTTAGTATTTTGTACTTCATAAATTTATTGATATATTTGTCATAGTCAGAAACCAAAACTATCCAAATGGACATCAAGTAGAGTACATACAGACTGAATATTTGCAAAATGGAATAATTTACATAAGTGAGTGTAAATGAACTACAACTGCAAGTAACAGTATGACATAAATTTCCTAGTCATTTCATCGGATGAACCAAGATAGACACAAAGAAGTCCATTCTACATAATTCCATCTATGTTAAATATAAGCACAGGAAAAATTAACCTATGGTCTTAAAAATCAGAGTATGTTTTCCCTGTGAGCACTGATTGCTGGAACAAGATGCATTGGTACTCATAACACCGCTTTCTTAATCCCAGTGTCAGAACCTCCATATTCTAAACAGGGTCTTTTAGGATCACTGTAGATCTAATATGACAAGATTTTGCAATCACATTAACCCCCACAAAAATTGGTATTAAATTAGAAGTGGTTATTGTACATTGTAATTTTTCGGTCATTGTGCATTATAATTTTTTCTATTGAGTGAAATCCATTTCATCTCAAAAATTATCTTGATTTAATCTGTACAGTTTTAGCAGTTGTATTTCTGCCAGTTCTCTTATCCATAAATAAGCTCAGTGTTTATTCACTACACCTTGAAAAAATTAAATATTTGCCTCTGTTTGCAACACAAGTAGCCTCCACTCCATGTGTGGTTCTCTTCAATAATTATATCTCACTGCAGATGAAAACAACA